TGAAAAATACAAGTTTTTTCGATGAGTCATCGACCGAAAAATAGATTTTCTAAAGGAAAGAAAGAACGATATCAAAAGAGTAAATAGTACGGTTTGTAGAGCTTTCAATTCTCTATCTGATTTCGCCACTCACTTTTGAGTTTGTTTACTTCTGAGTGTCCCTTCAGGTTCAAAGTCCTTTTACACTCAAAGTGTAAGGCCAATTTACAACGTCCGTAGAGAGGGCGTAGAAGCAATTTTCGAAAAATCAAGTCGGCCACAAGATAGAGATTAAAAAAGACTACAAAACCTGCTAATAATCGCTTCTTTTGCGAAACTTGAAATTCAACAAAAATTTGAAAAACTCACGTTTACACGCTAAATGCAAGGCCAGTTTTTCAAAGTTAAGCCACTTTTCAGGCTCAAACAACTGAATGTACTGCTGTGAAAGTTTCATAGAAAGATGCAGCTCGCAAAACTGACATAGCAGTTTCATTAAAGTTCCAGACTTTGTCAGAAATTTTTACATTATATCTCGAAATGTAAGGCCAGTTTTTCTTATGAATTTTCGAGCTTTTTCGAATGAAACTGCTACTATTATATATCGTTCGACTCCTCACGAAGTTCATGAAACTCTTTTTGTTTTCACTACGACCTAGTTATTCACGAAAAACACGAGAAAATGTATAATATATTCCTGTGACAGCAGACCTGGCTAATTTAAGAGTCTTTGCTGTTGCATAAGCTTTTCTCCGTTTTATAGAAGCGAAACAGCACACTGGAGTGTCGTGTATGCCGAGTGATAGCTACTGTCGAGATCTATTCAGTGGTGTGTCATATGTGCAAAAACACCGATTTCGATATATTGCTTAGGATAAACTCCTTAGAAGAGTAGTCGCAACTCTGCGTCTCGTCTATCTCAACTTCCTGAGGTGTGATAGTCGGGACATTTTTACAACAGACTCAGTGAATGATGGGCAACAAAATGCACCTTTTAAATTTTCAAAAGAATCACTTTCATTTTCTTTTTATCAATTGCACGAAAAAGTTGCAAGTGACTCACATACATATACCGATACGTACGCATAGGTATATGAGCCAATGATTTTCTAACTTCCTCAGTTGCTAGCTTCGAATATATACATACATACATTTATACAAGTACATGAATTTCTAAGTTTCCGAGTTCCTAACTTCAGAAACATACATGCATACCAGTATATGAGCCAATGAATCTCTGAACTACTAAGTTTCTGAGTTCCTAACTTCAAACACATACAAACATATAAGTATATGAGGCAATGAATTTCCGAGTGCTTCAGTTTCTGCGTTCCTAGCTTCAAATATACACATACATACAGTTATATGAGTACGTGAATTTCTGAGTTCCTGACTCCCTGGGTTGTTAACTTCAAATACATACAAACATATAAGCAGATTAGATATTGATTTCTGAGCTTCTGAGTTCGCGGCTTTCAATATATATATACATACGGTGATATTCAATTCACTCTCGAAACACCACTGTTTAATTAATTTTAATATAAAATCTTCATGTTCATGTATTGTCATTGGTGGTGGTGGTAATGGAGGAACTGAATTAGTTGAAACTGGTGCTATGGTTATAATCGATGGTGATGTTGGTGGAGTGGAATTACTAGTAAACGAGTTGTCAAACTGGGTAATCCGTATATTTTAAATCCAGGATCATTCGAAAATATTCTGATCATTTTACGAGACCTACAGGAGAAATGTTTACAATCGACCACTGATTCTAATCAGTTAAGAAAGTGGACGACAATTACAGTTGATGCTTCACCATACTGTTTAGCCTGGAAACTATTTATTAATAACTACACGTGCTTACTGTGTGATAACAAGTCATTAGAATTTGATGATTTAGTCACTCATTATACTACCACACATCGTAATTCTAAAATTAGCGATAACCGTTTCATGTACGTCGAATTTAAGAATATTTTATTTCGTCCAGGCCTCGGTCATGGCGAAATGAATGCTTGTAAATCATTTACGAGATTTATCTGGCCTATTTACGGATATGATCTCGCCGACTGCTTAGGTTTCAAATCTGAGAAAGCGAAATTTTATGTAAAATCTTGTTCAGATCACCACAAAACCTTTGAAATTCTTACTACAGCATTATATGGAAATGCCCTTGAGCTAGTATATGAATATCTACATAATAATAAGCTAAATTTGAAAAATACCTCCTATGAAACGTTCATCAAATGAGCTTTGAGCTCAAAATCTTCACCAAATGTCAAGTTCTTTACCCATACTACATGTTTATGGTTGTTTACAATATTCATACTAAGAACAGGGATACGTTTAAACAATGCAACATTATTAAACGAAGCTCGCTGTATTCTATTAATCTTATTTTTCACTAGTAATCATCCAAAATATCAGTTTGTCCTGATAAATGACTCGATATTACGGAAAACAATGCTTAATGAGCTACGTCAGTTCTTCGAAATACATTACTAAATGCCTTCACAGGCATAAAATTCTCGAATCTATTCTAAATTACGCTTAGCTTATTCTACTTGCATTTTTCTACATATTGGAGAGCCTTGAGATCGTAGCTGAGAATACTAATATTCTAGAATGATCATTTCACATGTTATTACTTCAGTTTACTGAAAGAGACTTTTAAGTCGCACTTAAGACGTTTAGCGGATGATCATACTTACTTTCAATACCCTTTTGAACATGTTTAGTAATATAGCCCAATCGGGATACAACGATATCCCGATCGGGATACATATCCCGATTCGAATCTTGATTATACCCCGATCGGGATTTATAGCCCAATCGGGATAATCGTATAGGCTGATCGGGATATAAGTCATGACTCCGCACTGCCTAGTCTTACTGTAAACAGAAATGACTATGAACTGTATTGACACACTTTTCTTTCTCTTACAACAGATGATAATAACAAATATATGAGAGCAATGCGTTTAATGAGTGGATTCTTTGCATCTCTTCCAAATATGAAATTACATCAGCGACCAGAAGCATTTAAAATGCATTTACCCTCAAAATGGCCGTGGTTTTATTTTCGACGACAACAATTCTTATTATTTCTACAGGATCCTACACAGTTAGCTACAAAGTGAAGAAATCGTTTATTATGTTCAACAGCACAACTCATGATGGGTCAACAATTAATTTTCATACAGCATTTGCAAGATATTATTCATAGTGACGCATATTCTAAACTTGATCATGGTCTTGTTCGGACAGGTATTAATCCTAAAGACAGACAAAATTATCGTTCTTGTGCAAAACTGACATCAAATGATTTGTTAAATATTGTACGTAGTAATCCCAAGACATCAGAAACGTTTGTTTATCTTCATCTATTCAAATTGTTAATAGCTGCTCATATTGAAAAATCAACAACAGTTGCAGAACGTTTGCATTCAGCATGGATTGTTGTATTTGTTTGTCGATTATGGTGGTCATGGCTTAAAAATAAAACATTTGCTAATAAATCATTATCACGATTTTCTAAATTTCTAAATATCTGTATTTATAAGTGCCTTTAGTTCCAAAGTTCTATGGTTTTAAAAGTGTTTAGTTCCAAATTCCTAAAATCCTAAATTTCTAAGCTTCTATCTTTCTAAGTTTCTAAATGCCTAAATTTCTATTTTTATAGTTCTGAATGTCTTTAGTTGTAAATTCCCAAATTCCTAGATTTCTAAATGAAATTCTAAATTAGTTCTAAGTGAAGTTCTAAATTTCCACATTCGTAAATTTCTAAACGTCTGGGGTGCTCAATTTCTGTACTTCAGAATTCCCAAACGCCTAAATTTCTTAATGTCTACAGGCTGAAGTGACTTTAGTTCAAAGGTTCGATGGTTTGAGATGCCTCAATTCCTAAATCTCCAAATTTCTAAATGTGTATAGTTCTAAGCGTGTTTAGTTCTAAATTCGCAAATTGCTAAATTCGTGAATTTCGGTCAACTTAAGGCTGGCCGGAACCCGCCTTGCGCCTAGCCAAACATTCATTGCAGCCCGTAATTCGTGCGTTTTGATCTTCTTCAACTTCCATAATGATAACTGGTCTGGTCCTTTTGCCGTTTAATCCCGATAATTTCTACAGTCTTTTTCGGCTACTTTTAAATGATTTCTGTCGGTCGATCATCGGTCCAAGGACAATCAATAATAAAGCTCATTCTTGTTTGGAACCAATGGGATTAACACAGAAAACTAATTACGGACGATATACATGTACATATTGGTTGAGTATAGACACTTAGTATGGAAATTTGCCATTAGTTTATTTGTATATCAACCAACACATTTTGTTTACCATTCAATTATTTGCTGATATACCTATTCTTATTTATACAACAATTTGTATTCGTAAAGCAGAGAAAATGTAAAATCGATTGTGTAAAAAGTTAACAATTTAAGTAGATCTGGACCGTTCATGTTCTGGACGGTATGATCTAGACAAAGTTTCTTTTAAACTTTCATCATCACCAAGTCAGTTTTAAGATCAAGGATTAAAATAAAATTACTTACTTACTTACTCATGAGAGAGAAGCGTTTATGTTATAAGATATTGTAATAAACACGACTTTATTTCAATCGTACTCAATCTGTTCGTTTTCCCTAGATGTTCACAATTAAAATTTTTACTATGCGGCATTTTAGCAATCTAGTTTCTTTCTTTCCGAAGTTGTACTACAGTCTCATGCTACTAGAGTAACGTTTTCTGTCAAACGTTTCATCCATTGGTTTGTAGAACACGTTCTACCTTTGTCGTTGAGATCCACATTTTCCAGCACATACCTAAACGAGACCTACATAAGCGCTATTAAAGTTAAGCCACAACCTAACGTGCTCGATCGACGGTGAGGGTTTGTGCAACTGTGACGAAAGGCGCTTGCCAATGAGGGATAGTCAGCAATAAAGATATATTATCAAATGGATGGAAGAGTCATTTGGCGAAATGTCGCCTGCGATATTGCTGATGGAAACTTCTCTCGATCCGGCTCAGTTAAATGCCGAAGTTCCGTTAGATCCTCAGTATCGGGAAAGGATGCTCTTACGAAGGAACCTATTCAGGTGTTCACATACGTTTTCTATGATATTATGCCTGTCAATAGAGAATTAAAAAGAGAATTTAAAACGGCGAAATGTATCATGTTCCGAAACGAGTTTCGCCTGGATCGGATGTACGTCGTGGATGCAGCAAAGAATGCAAGTTCTAACTCCACCAGTTCATCACAGAGGAGTAACTCGCTTTAGAAAACAACGAAAATGTCAAGATCGAGTATTTTGTTTCCAAAGAAAGACTTTTCCGCAAACGTTTTTGTGAGTGTGTTGGCCAAAGGTCCACAATCCAAAACGTAACCAACTTAGAGGATTATCCAAGATTATACTTGTACATTTGGTTACATACTTCTGTACGTAAAATTACACAAGGAATGGAATTCAGAAACATAAAGTTCTACCTCCTATGTTGGCACCGCACAAACACATTTGTGTTCTAACTCCACCAGTTCATCACAGAGGAGTAACTCGCTTTAGAAAACAACGAAAATGTCCAGATCCAGCGTTTTGTTTTTCAAGAAAGACTTAAGCCAGAATAAATGTATATCAAGGAACCTGGATGTATAATTTATTATTGGTTGTATCTTTTAATGTTTTATTAACAAACAACCCATTCAAACGCTGATGTCATTTCAATGGCTTGAAATTTCATAAAAAGACTACAAAAAGATGTGAAAAAAAGTAATAACAAGGCCTCACAATTCTAAACTGACAAAAAGACCTGCAGTGCTTTCATGTTGTAAAATCAGTAGAGTGCTTCAGAAAACCAGTCACTCCAGGCGCTTCTGAACTCGTCGTATAGAGTTTGAGAAGAACCACCAAGACAAGTCGGTTCGACACACAAGGAATTCTTGAAGCCCTATTAATTTCCGTGAGACCACCAAGACAAGTCACAAAAGACAGATCACCAAGGCCTTACTGAAATGGTTCTCTGCTAATAGGCTTAATGCTGTTATAGAGGCATACATCTATGTAAAGTTAAGAGAGCTCACCCTCACCTAGGCGGTTCTTCTTCAAGAACACCACCAAGACTGTGTACATTTAGACACAAGGCAATCCTAGGAGTACATTCCTAAGATACCTCCTTACATAGCACAAATAGGTATCGTATAACTTCTAATCTTCTTACGTAGTACTTTTCGCTTATGGTGTTTTCCATAACCGGTACCTTACATTATATTGATGTTTCAGTTGAGTGCATTCAGATGCGGTGCATATGCCGACATTTAGACGCATTTGTTATGATAGAACGGAAAAACAGACACATTTCTCTAATCGTGCGTATAAAAGCCAAACAGCACAAAAAGATAAAGAAAATGTGCCTCATCTTCAGCTTTATCTTTATCATCTTTATCTTCATCAGCTTTATCTGTCTCATCTTGTGGTCACTGTATATTCATTCAAAACGGAATATATGTTGTTTTGTTTTTCTAAACAGTGAACACTCTTTGAAGGAAATCGAGAAAACACCGCCACGCCAATGAAGGTATTGTCTTATGCAGTGAAAAAGCCTTTGAGCTGGCTAATGCATCAGCGACTTTTCAGCGTCTCATGGAACTTCGAGGTCTGAAATGGAGCAGTTGGATGGTCTATCTTGATGATGTGATGATATATTCCCAACCTTCGAACAATATCTTGTCTACGTTATACTGACCACGAGATGAGACAGATATAGATGATGAAGATAAAATGATGAAGGTAAACAATGAAGATAGAGATGATGAAGATAAAGATGACGGTGAGCCACACTTTCCTCACCTTATTGTGCAGTTTGGCTTTTATAGGCTAGATATTAATTCATCCCAACGCAAATAAGAGAAATGTTTCTGTTTTTTCGTTTTTCGTTGCAGTATGCCTATCAACAGAGAATTAAAAAAAGAATTTAAAACGGCGACTTTATTATACATATTATTGTTCAGCGCATCGAGCTGATCACTAGTATAACCTTCTCAGCCTTCTAAATAGCCTTCTTCACCGAGAAGGTAGAAATTAATTGACAATATGCTCAACTGACAGGTATCTGAGGTGATATCATAGGAATCTACTGTCAGCATTAACTTGTTGACTAACTTGTTGTCTAAATGTACACAGTCTTGGTGGTGTTCTTGAAGAAGAACCGCCTAGGTGAGGGTGAGCTCTCTTAACTTTACATAGATGTATGCCTCTATACCAGCATTGAGCCTATTAGCAGAGAACCATTTCAGTAAGGCCTTGGTGATCTGTCTTTTGTGACTTGTCTTGGTGATCTCACGGAAATTAATAGGGCTTCAAGAATTCCTTATGTGTCGAACCGACTTGGTGAGGGTGAGCTCTCTTAACTTTACATAGATGTATGCCTCTATAACAGCATTAAGCCTATTAGCAGAGAACCATTTCAGTAAGGCCTTGGAATTCCATTCCTTGTGTAATTTTACCTACAGAAGTATGTAATCAAATGTACAAGTATAATCTTGGATAATCCTCTAAGTTGGTTACGTTTTGGATTGTAGACCTTTGGCCAACACACTGACAAAAATTTTCCTTTAATTTATCGACGAAACTGTAAAACAATCTATTTTCCTTTTAATCATGAAATAAAGAATTTCAGTACAGTGCACTTCGTCTTTTCTTCCACCTCCTAGATGGTTCAAATTTTGCGTATGTAATCTTTTATATCAAGCTTACCTACAGAATATATAGAATTTCGAAACTCAGCAGTCTCTTCGCGTCGTTTCAATTATTTTCAGTTTTCAAACACTTTTTCATAAGGCCAAGAATAAATTCCGAATTAGCTCATTAACCTTCAACGACGCACGTACAAAACCCAGCGCTAGTCACTCTGAGGCAAGTCACCCAGGCGCTTCAGAAGTCGTAGTATAGAGTTTGAAAAGAACAACAACGACAAGTCCGTTCGACATACAAGGAATTCTTAAAGCCTTATTAATTCTCGTGGGTCACCAAGACAACTCACCAAGGCCTTACTGAAATGGTTCTCTGCTAATAGGCTTAATGCTGTTATAGAGACTTACATCTATGTGGAGCTAACAGAGCTCTAAACGAAGCTATTAATACAAGTACATACTGATGGTCAAATCATTACTGTTAGAGAAATGCGGGTTGGCAAACTTAATGTCATAAATGTGATTATGTATTTGTATTCTATAGCAGTTCGGATGTAATCAGTATTCTCGACGACTAATAATAATTATATAATACCATGCGCTATTTTATTATTTTTGTACAGGGTATATTTATTTTCCGCCCTGGCTAACGGAGCACGCAGCCATAAAAACATCGACTGTCGCGATTCATGAAAGCTAACTAGCCGGACAAGGAGCTCAAAAACGAGAACAGAAGAGAGAAAACATCAGTTAAACAGTTAGACAACAGTGTGAAAAACAAGGTAAACAAACAAAATGTCAATGTCTCCAAAGCACTTGATTGTGCCGCAGTTCGTTGGTCATATTGGTTGGTCGTCATCGTCCACACTGTCGTCGAAGCCATT